GCCACGCCCCGCCACGCCCCGCCACGCCCCGCCCGGCAGGCCAGGCCTCGGCCTTCACTAATTATGGGGCTCCCAGCCGTCGCGTCCCAAAATGCCGACGTCGTGCGAAAATACATTTAATGGGCCGCCCCTGCCGTGTCGTCGTATTATTTCGCGCATGCGCTGTTTTGTGTTTAATGCATTATTATTTTATTTTTAGATATCCTTTTTTTTCTCTCTTTGCGCCGTGTGTGTGTGTGTGTGTGTGTGTGTGTGTGTGTGTGTGTGTGTGTGTGTGTGTGTGTTGTGTACTCTGCGGTGGTGTGTGTTGCGGTCACGACGTCGTACTTTGAATGTGTAATCACCCCTCCCTGGGTGTTGCAGGCGTATGTGTGGCGGGCGCTCTTACATGATTCGGCACTAAAAGGCATAGTGCCGCGTGTGGACGTGTATATGTGTGTGTGGGAGAGAGAGAGAGAGAGAGGGAGGGGAGCGTTGTTGTGCCGCCACTCCCCTGGAGAGTGGACGTGTGTCCGGCAGGTAATCTGCGGAGGGCCCGAGAGCAGCGGGTCCACTGCCGGCCGAGGCGACGGTGCAGTGCAGCCTTAGCCGTACGTTACGGCCACCTGGCCGCTCCTCGACATGATTCAATTGTCACAATTAACCTAATGGGTCCGCTGCCACTGGGGTGTTGCTGCTGCTGTTGCTGCGCTGCACCCTCTCGGTGCTCCGAGTAGTGGTTGCTCCGCTCTCGACATCGTCCAGACAGGAGTACACGTCCGTTGCCCTCCTCAGATTCATTTGGCAAATTATGGGTGAGCTCGGCGCCTGCGAGACTCGGGGTAGGCCACCCCGCACTACACGCATGCCTTGCAGGCGAGATGTTGCCTACCTATCTGGCGCCCTCCTGAGAGCTGCTTGAATACGTTGAACTTCTCTGGAGACGGGCTGTTATATTTTTTTTGCAGGGCAATGTTAGCAGCTGCTCCTTCTAACTATGACGAATCAAGTAAAAGTGTGACTTTATTTTTAAAAGTGGCTCATATTGGTGTATGTTCTGCCGCCCCTTTACAATTTTCTCTGACACCTTCCCCTTCCTTGTTTTCTGTGCCCTCCAGGATCCGGCAGGAGATGAACGGCGGCGCGTGGTGCCCCAAGGCGCAGATCTCGAGCGAGGTGCGCGAGTACCTGGAGGTGGACCTGCAGGCCGAGCACCGCATCACGCGCACCGAGACGCAGGGCCGCTTCGGCAACGGCCAGGGCCAGGAGTACGCCGAGCAGTTCCTGCTCGAGTACTGGCGGCCGGGGCTCAGCCGCTGGGTGCCGTACCGCGACCACCAGGGTGACAAGGTAAGTGCGAGTTGGACGCTCCACTGTTAAAACAATGTCCTAGTTTTTGAGGGAAAAGTGGAAACTTTGAGGAATTGCTATGTTTGAGGAAGAGTCCTCCGATATCGCCTCAGATTTTGAGGAATCTCAGAAAATTGGGAAAATTCCCACATTTTTTGAGGAGACTTCCTCGAAATATGGATGCTATGATTTGGATTACGCACAGGTATCGACAAGCAATAGTCCCAACATGATCAAAAAGTGGTACACTTAAGTCCTGTTTGACCTCTCAAATTTTTAAAATCTTTGGAAACGAGACAATATTTTACAGCAAAGTTTACAAATGCAAACACCATGTTAGGGAAGGGGGAGAGGAAAATGAGCAAAGTTCGCAACAGGAAAACGACCACGTAATCTGACAACAAGTAGATAACTCCACGAATCGCAGAGGATGCATGCACGGCGTTGTTCTGCTCGGGTGATGCACTCTGCCGCCCGGCACGCCACCGGTGCGCGCGGGCTGCCTACATAGGCAGAGGGGGCCTTGCCTCGCGCGGGGTGAGTGCTGCAGCAGGTGAAGTAATGCCCCGGGGAGAAGGGATGGGGGACGGGGTGGCTATATCGTTTACGACGCGGTCGCTGCGGGATGGCGCGCTTTGTATGGAGACACCAGCAACGGGGCGTTTTTTTCTTGTTTTTTTTTTTCTTCATTTAAATAAATTTCACTCCCGCGCCTTTTGCTTCTATACCCTAAGCAGGGCACGATGGCCGTGTTGGTGGTGCCTGTGGGCAATAAAGCGTGACAAAAGGAAAATAACGCTTAATGTCGCCATGAGAGATTGAAAGCCGCCCCGGCACCTCGGCGAGTGCGTGGCTCTGCCGCGCGAGCTCTCAGAGGCTTTCCATGGTGACTTTTATCGCGGAGTCATCGGCATACCCAGCGTGACGCCGTTACAGAGCGTCGCGATCGCATCAAACTTATATGCATTTATGGGCATCTCTCGTTCTCTCTCTCTGTGTATGTGCTGTTTCGTGTATATTGGCGTATGCTCTTTTTTCTCTACCACCGTTTCGACCTTTTCCCGCGAGTGAGAGAGAGAGAGAGAGAGCGAGAGACGGTAGAAAAATGTTTCCGGAGCGTTGCGAGCGGCGCTAGAAGTAACTCAAACATACTCTGTCTGCCTCGCTCGGGCCGCCTCCGCAGGCACATAGGCAGGGCTCCGCGCTGCCTTCATGCAAAATGACGCTACGTCGCACAAAACCGCACCGTGTGTGCATCGTCCTGCCATCTCCCTCTCCTCATTCTCACCCCCCCCCCCTCTCCCTCTCCCTCTCTCTCTCTCCCTCTCTCTCTCTCTTGCAAACACACTCATACCCGCCCTTCGCCGTTCTCTCACATCTCTACCGACGGGTGAAAAATACGACTCGTTTCCGCACGCGCGCGGCCGAGAGAGAGAGAGAGAGAGAGCGGGGTGGAGCAAACTTTTCCCAGCCGCTTTGTGGTTAGTTTTTGGCTGCTCGGGTCCGGGCTGGGGTCGGGGTCGGCTTATCTGGTGTATCCCCTTCGGTCCCGCTAGCGAACGCCGCGGCCGCGTCACTCTGAGCGACGTGGCAAGTTAAGGTGTCGATGTTCATCATGCAGAGGGGGTTGGGGAGTTGGGGAGAGTGAGGTATAAAGAGAGAGAGAGAGTGAGAGTGAGAGTGAGAGAGAGAGAGAGAGAGAGAGAGAGGAGGGAGCAAAGGAGAGGGCGGCGTCTGGTTTACCCAGCC